CACACACCGAGAGTCACAACAGCGCGACACTTCCTCCCCCCAGAAGTCCGCCCACCAGAGTTCTCTATTCTCCCTGAAGAGGCCTGAATATCTCCAAAGGAAGAGCCCCCCCCCGCACGCCACGATGATGGAAGGGCGGACGCTCGAGTTTTATGGTTACTACGGCGTATTCGGGGTGTATGCAAGATACGAGGTCTGGATGGGCGGGGGCGGGGGGAAGGGGGAGCGCGTCGGGGGGTTCTTGTGCTTGAATCGTTCTCAATGTATTTCCGATCGTGCCTCTCGGATCGGTCTCTACGCGTGTGTGCCATGTCTTCTAGAGAGCTTACAGAATGAAAGGAGAGGAGCAAAGAGCCGAGAGGAAACGGCGGCAGTTTTTTTGAGTTCGTTGTTTTGGAGGTTTTAGGTGAGGTAGTATCCCAATTCTCGGTTCGATGCGCCGTCGTCGTTCGTGTGTTGAGTACCCCAACAACCGCGCAAGGCGGGAAAACCTTTAGACCTATGCCCCCCTCGGGCTGAAGTCCGAGCAGGTACTACGAAGACGCTTGTCAAGCGCGTGGGTTCTTCATGGGTGGGAGAATTTTTTTTGGGGGGGAGAGGAGGGCAGGGAGGACGCCGGCCTTGGAAGAGAATGGCAGCAGTAGGAGAGCCGTATGGCACGCTGCCATTCAGTAGTTGCATGGAAGAGGGGGGATACTAAGATGCCGTGGACTGCTCCTCCTATCGAGAATGGGCTTTTCCGAGGTCCGGGGGTCCGCGGCCGCGCGTGTCTGTCGGTGTGTAGTCTAGACTGTTTTTTTTCTCGTACACGGTACATGTATCCGTGTTTCTTTTCTTGTCTGCTTTTAGCACTGTATCGCTCTGCATCCAGTCATGTGAATTACAGCAGTTGGCGCCGTCCTCCTCTCATCGCGTGGGTGGGTGTGTGTATGTGTTTTTTTTTCGTTCACTCTTTCGAGGCCGGCTTGTTTTCGCCCCCCCAACCCCTCCCACCCACGCGAGAGACGGGAATATTACACTAGTATAGAG